AAATCTGGCTTTCCTTATTGCTGAAAACCCCCCCCCCCCCCCCGGTAAGGTCTCAAATGAACACCAGACACAGAACAGCTACAACCACCTTAAATACACGCCAGTTGCCAAGTGCCCAAATTTTGTCACACAACTATGGGGATCACTGCAATGGTTGTTAAGTGCAAGCATCAGTCGTTTTCAGTGATATAATAACTTTGAATAGTTCTTTTAACATGGTCATTAACTCAAAGACTACCTGTATTATACTTTCATGAAAGGAACCTAAAGAGAATAATATCAATTGAAACTTTATTATGCAATTACTACTGTTTTATTTATTTATTAAATTTATATGTCACCCATTTCACTATCACAATTACAATGGCTTATAGTATAATACAAAGCAATTTAAATTTTAAAAAGATTAAATAACCTAAGGTAATAATAATGTTGAAGTTCTGTTTCTTTTTGTATGTGACCATAAAATTAAATAAACTATTATTAAAATAGTGCAAAGATATTGTTTATATGTGTAAACAAACAAAAAGCTAGTCTAATTTAATTTAATATAGGCAGTTTTTGTTCAGTGACCACTCATTCAGTGACCATTCAAAGTTACAATGGCATTTAATGGGGCACTTATATAAGAATAGATTTCTGCTGGAAGTCTTCACTAAATTTTTATCTCGTTTAACTAAAATAAAAGTTGAGCACATTGCTACTTCAATGAACTGTTATTAAAAAAAGTAGCTTCAATTTGCTCATTTAAAATCATATGCAATACTTACCTAGATATTCTGGACACATTAAGCAAATTTCCCTAAGAAAAGCAGTAGCACTCATGTCATATGTTCTGAGCTTAAGTTCAGTGCCTAATTTTAAAATTTCCAACCGAAGAATTGGCTTTTCAATGTCTTCTGCAAGATGACACACCTGAAGGAACACCTATTTATTTAAAAAAGACAGGATAGTTAACCTAATAAACCAAGTTTTTATCCAAGGAAATGTGACTGAACACTGGTTGCTTCACTTTTTTCCCCTGTCTCTCATGCTGTATTCTTTATCTATATGTAGTTGTGGATCATTTTCCTCAATAAATAAAAACACAGGTATACTATGTTTGATTCATTTGTCAGAATTAGGCTGTCTTTATCTTACTTTAATACTTGTGTGGAAACAGATCATTTATGCAGAAACATTGAAAATGCATGTAGATTCACAAACTTTTAAGCATGACTATATGTTTAATTATATGTCTCTGGATTAAATATTCAAATTTTGGATTTTTAAGATCTAAAGTGTAAAGATGGTTAGGTAATTGGTCCAGGCAGCTATGAAATATGTTTTTACTTGTTATAGTATTATTAGATTCATTGGAGAAAGATGCTGAAAATAAACAGATGCCATCACATATAGTCTATTAAAATTCAACTGAATAACAAAAATGAAAGAAATGGTCAAGTACAGAAAAATATTTACCTTCCTAAGGTAGTTTGATTGCAACAGTGTAGAAATAAGTATGGCTGGATGGATATGGAGACAGATAGGTAGGTAGGTAGGTAGGTAGGTAGGTAGGTAGGTAGGTAGGTCTCATTCTTCATTCATTCATTCAATCATTCACCCACTCACTCACTCACTCTCAATACTGATTCAGCATGCATAGGGAAAATCCATAATGAAGTTACTAGTGGGGTGAATTAAGGAGAACTAAAAGGAAAGGTAAGAAACAGAATAATGTACCTGAAGCCTCTGAAGCGCGAAAACCCGCCCAACGCACAAACTGGAAGTTCGGGAATGGACTTCTGGTTTGCACATTGGGCTGTTTTTTGTACTCCGGAGGCTTCAGGGAAGCGTCCTGAAGGAGAAAAATGGCCCAACAGGCAACTCAGAAGTCTGTTCCCAAACGTCCGGTTTGAGTGTTGGGCTGTTTTTCACCCCGGGAGAAAAGCGGAAGAATGGGCAATCCAGAAGTCGGAAAACGGGCCATTTCCATCTTCTGGAGGGCCTTCGGGGTCCAGGGGAGGCTGTTTTTGCCCTTCCCATGCTCCTAGACAGTCTCTGGAGCCTGAGGAGGGCAAAAAACAGACCTACTGGGTGCATCAGAAGTTGCAAAACGGGCAGTTTCCAGCCTCCGGAGGGCCTCCGGGAAGGGCAGGGAGGCCATTTTCATCCTCCTCTGGCTCCAAGGGGCAGCAGGGGGAGGGGGTTGCTCATGGATGTGCATGGGCCATGGTGCAGGGTGGCATTAACTTATGAGGGTGGCCATGCAAGCATGCCTGATAGTACATGTGCCCGTGTTTTTAGCACCCAAGGCGAAAAAGGTTTTCCAATCACTGCCCTAGTCCTTAAGATGATGGACAGATCATCTGAATTCTGGGAAGAAAGGGAAATATCAAATGATTTGTTCCCTTAATATCAGAACTTGAGATATAGTTGTTAAAGATAAATGTAGCAGATTAGTCTTTGTTCAACCTAGTCATATATGTAAGGAGATACTGATGCCAATCAAATTTAGAAATAAAGCATCTATAATAATAATGATAAAATAAAGACATGAACATAGATTTCAGAAAGAAAACATAAACAGTTTGACAAACAATCACAAATCTTTAATAGCAAAAAGTAAAGCATTACCTCAGATATTTCAAATCTTAATTGGAAATCAGTCATATTTTTCAAAGGTTCTGTTTTTGTTGTGTTTTTTCGGAAGCTACTAGCTCTACTCAGTGAGCCCAAAGGTGCTTCAAAAAATGGTAGGTCTTCCAAAGGACTACTTGGAGCATCATAAAACTCATCCTCAGATTCTAACAGACAGTGCAAGGTAAAATAATAATTATTAAAACATGCTCCCATTTTTACTTATTTGTGTTACATACTGTAGTGAAAACCCAATATTTACATCTAACATAGGCAGATTTCAGATTCTATTTAGGTATTTGTTTTTATTATTTGGCTCAAGCTCCAAGAGTTACCATCTATATACTAATACAAAAGGAATATGAAGTAATAATTCTGAGATTATTTTTTATTATTGGAATAAAACTGAAATTATAGTGCTTTTACATAAAAATTGAATCTTATTTGTTCTAGTTCTTTTCATTTCAAATGGCACAATTTAAAGAAATTGACCTTTGTTGCTACTGATTAGCAAGTGAAAGTCATAAAACACTGCTGACCTTCAAGCATACATATATTTTCTACTAATTTCTAATATATTATATATATATATATATTATATATATAATACACACACACACACACACACACACAC